TGTATGCAGGCTATTTAAGACAATATTGGCTGATTCGATTGCAATCCTGACCTAACATGCAAATCGTTTGCCCTCTCTCTTCATCATTCCCACATCTCAGATCTCAAATACATACAATATTACCCTTTTTAGACATAGTTTTTGAAGTAAAAAAAATACTATACAAAACTTATTGAAACAACAGTTCTTTATTTACCCTTTGGCTTTTTTACGTAAAAGTAAGCATTACACACCAGAAAAGCAAGGGATTCACAACATAATCTGAAAAGTAAAATAGCTTAAATTACATTAAAGTTACATGAAAGTTTATGTAAAACTAAATGGGATTAGAGGTTGTCATCATCATAAGGTAAAGCCTCATTGTGGTTATAATAACACTTTTGCAAACTATTCTAACTCAAACTTTCAGGGAAAATGTTTATATATATATATATATATATATATATAAAAAAGACTGAAAGATGTGTCACAAGCTTAATGGTGGTGATGACCATGACGAGGTTTGTTTATAGCCTACATTTAGCTTTTTACTTCTGCTGATTGTATTTAAGCATAAACTTTTGTTGGTCACAGAGCTTATTTTGTTTTCTGCAAATATCCCAAAAGCCAATGGAAAAACAGTTTGGTTTTTTTGTAGAGGGAAGCAAGCTGATGCTAACTTAGCCTTCAAAAATATGTCATCACTGCAGCGCTCAATTACAGTCAACACATAGTATGAGTTGAAATGTCAGCCCACACTTACATGCTGAGAAGAGTGAACACAAAGGTTCCCTAGAGAGGAGAGGTTAACATACAATATGCTGACATTCCCATGTTTTAAACAGCAGTTGAATGATCGGTTCACTGTTCATTAAAGGGGTCATATAAGTTTTTTACACTACCATTGAGAAATTTTAACCAAACTATGTTACAGACTTTTCATTAAGACACTAAAGAATCATATCAACTTGTGGAAAATGGGCATCCTATGACCCCTTTAATCAATGACTGAAAACAATGCAAACTCAGAAAGCCAGTACAAGGTTATAATGCAGCGGTGGCAAACTCCGGTCCTGGAGAGCCACAGCCCTGCAGAGTTCAGCTCCAACCCTAATTAAAACTCACCTGCCTGTAGCTTCCTAGTAACCCTTCAGACCTTGATTATCTTGTTCAGGTGTGTTTGATTAGGATTGAAGCAAAACTCTGCAGGGCTGCGGCTCTCCAGGATCAATGTTCACCATCCCTGTTATAATAAAAGGGTTTTTCTGATAGCATTCCCAATGCTATCTCACGGCCAATTCGTACATATTTTACGAGGTGGCTAATTCGTACGAATTCATACAACCTCACTCGTACGATTTTGTATGATTTGTCTAGATCCCAGTGATGGGTAGGTTTAGGGGCGGGGGTAGGTGTAGGTCATTCGTACAAATTCATACGAATTGTGCAACTCGTAAAATATGTACGATTTAGCAAAAAACATAAGAATTTGTATGAGTCAGGTCGTACAAATTCATACGAAATAGCCACCTCGTAAAATATGTACGAATTGCCGTGAGATCGGGCTGTCTTTCCCCAGTTTTGACATCACTGCAGACTGTGTACTCAGTCATATAGGGAACACAGGGCCCCTCCTCTTATGGCCATGCTATAGTGCTCAAAAAAGGGGCCAAGAAGGGTTTGTTTTTATTCAGACGAACTGCATAACAGCACTGTGGTGCTCACATTTACAAATAACATTTCCCAAAATGCTTAGTATGTCAGCTTCAGACCTGTTTTAGCTAATGAGGTTAACATTATCTGAACTTTTTAAATCACAATGAGGCTTCATTTCACACCTGTTTAGTTATCAAAAATAAAATGACACCATAAAGTTTTTTTTATTTCCACACAGCCCATAAGCACAATCACGCTTTGTATGGTCTCAATGGTAAGTGAGAAAATGAACCCAATGACCAAGAGGTGGTGTTTCCAAGGCAACGTGAAGCCCGACCCAAGACCCAAGGTGGGTGATGGGCAGTTTAGAGTGGGACATGCTTAGCGGGTCAAATTTTTTACCATCATTGGGGATGGGTCACGACTAGTAATGAACAAGCCAATTAGTACAGCTAATCATTCTGAAAAAGAAAAAAAACTCAGAGAAGTTGCGTTTTTAAATTCATCCCCATTTAAATCACTGCAGCTCACATGGACATCTTTGGTTTTTGCAATGCAACGTGTTGAGCATTTAAAGACGTCACAAAGCTAAACATAGTTCATTTTTAATAAGCATTCATAATAGTTCTGTGAAAGGTAACAGTTGTTTATGTCTCACAACGAATTCAAGGCCTGCATATGAGCCTGCACGTTTTGTTGCTGGAGGTATGGAGGAAGATGTCACAGCAGTATGCTACATTCTCAGCTATTATAAGTACGGAAGAAGGAAATAGACAGGAGGAGGAAAAGAAAGAATAAGAAAGAGAAAAAAATAAGCAGCAGAGGAGAAGAGCCTCTGGCTGTGGGTCTGATTTCGTGCCAAAGCAGCACCATGTCCTGCCCATAACTGCAGGCTGTGCATTTCTCTCACTATTTTAACTTTATTCCCTCTAAACTCTTTCTGATTTTTTTTACCCATTGAAAACTATCACTCATGTGGCAACATAAAGATAGAAGCAGACTAAAGAGAGCAGGACAGGAGACACACATGTGAGGAGAGCTCTCACTAGTCTCCTTTCTGAAGTCAAAGTTCTGCATCACTTTGTTCTATTTTTAAAAAAAAATGACTCCATTGT